AATAATAAGACCAAGAACACATTAAATAAAAAAGTTCATATGGAGCGCCAAATGTGAATACATTTCAGCTCAAATAAATTCAAAGGAAAAAAGGAACCTAAATAAAATAACCCTTCAACTAAATCTTCCTGCCTCTGAATAATCCATATTCTACAGACATGCTTGGAGGATAGGGTGTTAGTGCCGACATCAAGATAGAAACCACTAGGCTTTGTGAGGTAAAAAAATAATAACAACAATATATCTTCATTGATTCAATAAAGGCTTTTACCAAAAAAACACCCATTCCTCTTTAATTTAGGGACAAATTCCAATTGAATACTGTTCCTGCCTTTCCCAAAGATATGGGTGGATTCTTTACCCACCAATATTTCTACTGCCCTTTTAAAGAAATACCAATAATTTTTCAACAGTATCCATTCAAAAGAAATAAAAATTTAGAATTTCAACCAAGTACTGACTTCCTATATATAACATGACTATTTCTAATTCTGATTTAAGTATTAGGTTACAGTCTTGGATTCATCATTCTTAGTGGAAACTTGGCAAGTCTTTACCTTGTCAAACCTCCAGATTCCTTGAGGGCTGGACTATATTTAGGTGGGTAGTTTTTTTTTTTTTTTTTAAGAGTTAAAAACAAATCTTCCACTTTTCCTTGACAGTCATTTCCACATCCTCCCCACAATAACTAGGACAGGACAGGCCCGGCAGGGTGAGATAGAGGAATAGGTGGTGTTAACCACAAAACGCCAGCACATCTGGGAACTGGAAAGCACTGGAGAGATGATGTGGTAGATGGTTGAGAGCAGAGATCCAGGAGTGCTCAGCCTGGAATGGAATCCTGAGTCTGCCATTTATTATAACATCTGCGTGATTGCAATTCAGTGTGCCTCAGATACCTAGGGTTAAAATCTATGAACGGCAGGACACAGGGTCAGATGTTGCCTCTTATTACTATTACTACTAGGTAATAGTTACTATTACTACTATCTGCTACTTGCTTGTTCTCCATTTCCTATTACACATGAGCTACTTGGTAGCACAACAGCAAAACAGGACTTAGACAGGAATGCCAATTTGACAGGCTAGTCACTGAATATGAAAATGCTAAAAATGAGTGAGTACACAAAGATGACTCTCCTTTTGTCTACGTTTTAATATGCTGGTGTTTATCTGTTGCCTGGGGTGTTTGGCAGAGGAGAAGAAGGTGAGAAGGAAAGGAGTAATGTGATCATTCTGCCTGATATACTAAGTTGGGTCATTGTCCAAAATTTTAATCCTGGGGAGCAACAGAAAAGCGGGGCCTGGCTATAGAGCATATTCAGAGCATCCCTCTATAGTTCGGAGAGAACTTTTGCAGTGGCCAGGACCAAGACCAAAGGATGAAGGGCTTACAGGGATGTGTCGTGAGAGCCAGAAATTGAGATTTGGTTGGAGAAATAAGAAAAAGGTAAAGCAACAAATACCTTGTTAGACCCTTGGAGAAGCAATGTCAAGAAAACTCTATTATACAGACTTTTATCATGACATTTTAATTCTATATTCAAAAATTTTAAAAAGGTATACAGCTATAGGAAAATTCTCTGCCAAAGAATTAAAATTTCTGGAATTGATAGTATATGCTTTTAAAATTCGTTGCCTCTCAGGTATGAATGCTAGGCTAATCTTGGAGCTAAGCACAGAAACTTACGAAGGTTGGGTAATAACTCAAGTTGATTCCACTTTAACTTCCTACCATCTGATGAGTATTTATAATTTATAAAATTATAAAATTATAGTGTCTCTTCTAAATGTTACCAAAATATCACTTTAAAAAAGACAGGGAAAGTAAGACAATAAATAGAATATGGTTTTAAGTTAACAGTATTGGAATCTCAAATTTTAAAAACAGTCACCTCTGCCACAAAACAAAAAGTTAAATGGAATCAAAGCATTTCTCATACAGTAAGAAAAGTGATAACCAGAGATTAATCATTACCAGCAATTGACTTTAGCCTCTCTAAATATATATTGGACTGGATCACATGTACGGAATTTAAATTGCTGCTGTACTTAATAAAAATAGAAAACTCATCAAACTTTCTTAATTTTAATTAAGGAGTAGTTTTTCATAAAGAGCATATAGCCAACAAAGCTATACACAATCCAAAAGACAAATTAAGACTTCTGAGAAAGTGGAAACAGAGGCAGAACCTCAAAATAGACAAGATGGATGAAGAGACTCCAGCAATGATGCAAAATGACTAACATAATAGGAATTTACTCAAATAAACTCCAAGTCCTTCATAGTACTGTTGGTTTATGTGGGAAAATACAACTCAAAGAAAGTGATATTCTATAACTGAAACTAGATAGTTTTGTGCTCATGTCAAATTGACATTCATCAATAAGTGACATGAGAGAGTATTTGGGGGGAAAAAAAAGGAAAAAATAGAAAACTACCCACATGAATGCACAATCATTCACGGAAGGTGACTTAGCAGACTCACCTTTGAGATATAAGAAAATAAATCATAGCAGTGTATAACTGACCCTCATGAATCTGCCCAGAGAAAATAACAGAAAATGTGACAGTGACTTTTTAATTGATGATGACGATTATTATTATTATCTTAAGTCAAAATGCTTCAGGAGTTGAGATTATTAGAATCACATTTAGATTCTCTCTCTTTTTTTTTTTCCACTCTGGCTGAAAGCCTCCAAAAAAAAAATCTTAATTTCTCTCCCATCCTACCCAATGCAACTGCAATAAAATGAGTGGTTGCTAAAGAATTCATCCTTCTCTTAGGTCAGATTAGGTCAGATCTAATCTTAGCAAAATCAATATCCTGTCAAACTGATTGACATCATACCCTTAGATACATTAGAACAATTCAAAATATACCTATATAGAGACAGGGAGGGAGTAAGTGAGAAAGTGGAGAGAGGTTTCTTTAATAGGACAAACCAGATGTGGGATTAGAAACTAGAAATGCAAAGATATTAAAAGTTATCGATATAATACAAGAAGTATAAGGCTCAGTCTTGTTTTGTTTGTTTTGTTTTTGTTTTTTGTTTTGTTTTTGATTTGTTTTGTTTGCTTTGAGATGGAGGCTCGCTCTGTTGCCAGGCTGGGGTGTAGTGACACAATCTTGACTCACTGCAACCTCCGTCTCCCGGGTTCAAGTGATTCTCCTGATTCGGCCTCCCCAGTAGCTGGGACTACAGGTGCCTGGCACCATGCCCAGCTAATTGTGTGTGTGTGTGTGTGTGTGTATTTTTAGTAGAGATGGGGTTTCACCATGTTGGCCAGGATGGCCTCGATCTCTTGACCTCATGATCCACCTACCTCAGCCTCCCAAAGTGCTGGGATTACAGGCATGAGCCACCACGCCTGGCTGGCTCAGTCTTGTTGAATGGCTTTACTTGTTTTAAAAATGTCAGCTCTCCATAAAGCTACCTAATATTTATTTTGTTGTTGTTGTTGTTGTTAAAGAATATATATATTATCTACCATTAATAGTGTCCTGGAATTATTTTAACATCACTTTGGAGTACAGCTTTATAAATGCACTAGAGTTTTTGTTTTTTGTTTGTCTATTAGTTTCCCAGGGACACAGGTAAAAATCAGTGGCAACAGATCATTACCACCTATTTCATGTAACAAATGACAAAACAGTTCAATTTGCTGTAGCTTGAAGTGATAGAGTATAGTCCTCCAAACACAGAGTCCTATCTGGGGCTCCTAATGTCACTGGTTTTGTAACCTGTAATCAAGAGCAACCCCTAAGTACTCCCTAGTTGCATTTAAGGGAACAACATTCACAGCATCACCACTAAATAAAAAATTATTTTCACATACATCCACATATAAAATTATACACAAGGGAGAGCCAAAGATAGAATGTGAAGATGTTAAAACATACTTGCAGAAAGATGAAACCCCAGTCACTTACACAGAAAGTGTCACATCATTTGTACTGAAAATACCAGGTAGACCTGTCTTCTGTAAACTTGAGAACCGATTTGAAAAAGATCGGTGCTGCTATAATAGTTTAAAACAGCAATAAAATGGAACATTTTACCTACCACACAGTAAAGAAAAAAGAAACATAAAAACTTTGGCCAACCTTTCCTAAACTGGCTCTGCTGTGCATTGACTGAACTGAGAGAAGAAAATTAATAGCAGCTCTTTTGCTCTAGAGTAATGTTGTAGGACCAACGGAGCCCAAAGAAGGTTCACCACAAGGTGCAAGTCTGGTTTACAAGAAATCATAGTAAGGTACATCCATTTCTTAAAGCACTAAAGACAACACACCATCTAAAAGTACTAAATGTATTGTTATCATTGTTGATACTGTTTATAAAGAATCAAACTACCTTTGAATATTTTCAAAATATTCATGTTCTAATGAGAAAATTCAGTGCTGAAATTTCAGTAATAATTTGTAATATAAAAATGTTTATTTAACAAATAGAATATAGAAATAGCATTGACTGTTTATAACCAGGATATGAGAAGAGGGTCTAAACCTTAGATAGAATGCACTACTGCAATGTAAAATGTGCTATATGCAATGGCAAAGTCTAAAATAAAGGAATCTGTGTCGCTGACATTTAACGCAAGTCTTTCCTCTTCAAATATGATGTTACATTTCAAATAATCTTAAGCTACACTTATTTTTAAGGGAGAATCCCCATAAGAAAACTAGACAAGCTGCAGTATAACAAAAGCTGAATTATAACTCCTTTAAAGAAAACTTGAGCTAAATCTTTACAATAATCTCACAGGCAAAACACAAATGCAAAACAGCTCTTTGTTAAACCAGGTTTTACCAAGATATTACTTAAAAAATAAATACTGTCAAGAAAACTCATGCCTTTTCTAAAAATAGACAATGCTATAAATATTTAAGAAGGATAGAAAAGCTCCCTTTGTAAAAAATATTTTTCATATGATACCAAGATTCTCACAGAAAAGTGTACCTATAGCAAAGTCAAGTGAAAACCATTTCACCTACCGTCAAATTTCTTATGCCTGGACACAAACGTGGTGCGCACAAAATGGCTTGTCTCTTCCACCAGGTTTTCAAACTCGAGTTTGCTCTGTTGGCTTAACTTGTCTTCCATTTCTGTGGTGCAGCATGTATATTCCTGAGGACAGATTCTTAAGTGTTCCCCTGCAAAGAGAAGTTAAATGTCACTATTGCATTCTAAGGACTTTTGGTAGATGTTAGAGATTTCACTTCTCTAACACTTTGTTCAAATCTTAGGGTGCTTGTTCCATCTACTTCTCCAGCTGTCACCATGAACTCTATCTGGGCCACAGCACATCAGTGTATCTAACATTCCAAACACGTGGTGGACTTAAGTTGAACCTGATATTTAGTCTCTGTTCCTCATCATGTAAGTGAAGGTGCATTAAAAACTTCAAAATACCATGGCATTTTTTCCTGGCTTGTATTTGTAATGCCTCAAGTAAACATCAGGTGATACAATGACACAAGATGTAATACAGCTATGTATGCTTGTCTTAGGAAACCTCAAGTAAGGCAAAAGACACTTAGTCTCATCACCAAAAGCAAGAAAAGATGGGAACTGTCCCTTGGGTTCTCTTTCCGCAAGTCTGTCCCTGGGTATGCACCAGCTTTTCTCTAAGTCCAGGTGAGTGTGTTTTTAATGGTAGGTCTCATTTGCTAAGTTGACATTTCTTGTCAGAGAGAAAACATTCTCCAGAAAGAAGGAAGTCACTGATGGGATTAATTAATGCTTACATTATACAGAAACGTAGAATAAAAGGAATGAAGGCCTTGTATTTAATTCGACAGATCTATCTACTTCGACAATATTGCTTTCTTTAGTGCTATTTGCAAGTAGAAGCCAATCCTTTGCTTCATGAAATTAAAATGGTCTGTTATTGCATAAAATGTGAATTTCCAATTGAAGCAGCTCAGTGAGTGTCAAAAATCTTTCTCACAGCCTGTGGAGGGAAGAATGGAAATCCACCCAATGTCTTGCTAAATAAAGCCAACAAATTGCTCCTGCTATTCAAGTCACTGTAGGACACTGAAAACAAATGAACAAAGTACTTGACTCTGTGATTAAAATTCATTTATAATGTTTAATGGTACTTATAAAAGTATGTCCTATGACCTTGTGTGAAGCATAGGGTGTCTCATGATTCTTCGTGTAGTTTCATGCTTAAGCTCCTACTTCAAACAACAGTAGAATTAAAAAAAAAAAGTTTACAAGGATGTATAACGTTAGGTCTTTTGCGGTTCTGAAGCATCTTTTTTTTTCTTTTTTTTTCTTTTTTTTTGCTGTTAGGTGTTTGAGCTCCTAATTAAAAGACACACAAATGTCCAACAATTATAAGGAAAAAAAACAACAACAAAAAAGCTCAGCGTGACTAATCATCAGGGAAATAGGGAAATGTAAATCAAAACCACTATGAGGTATCATCTCACCCCAGTTAGGATGGTTGGTATCAGAAAGATAAAAAATAACAAATGCTGGGGAGGATCCAGGGAAAAGGAAACTCATATACTGTCAGTGGGAATGTAAACTATGATAGTATCTATGGAGAATAGTATGGAGGTTCCTCAAAAGACTACAAATAGCATCCAGCCACCCACTCCTGGGCATTTATCTGAAGAGCAGGAAATCAGTACATCAAAGACACAATTGCATCCCATGTTTACTGGAACACTACGCACAATAGCCAAGATATGGAATCAGTCTAGGTGTCCAAAAACAAATGAACAGATAAAGAAAACGTGGCATAAGTACACAATGGAACAGTATCTAGCCTTAAAAAGGATGCTAGCCCGTCATTCAATGCAACATGGATGAAACTGGAGGACATTATGTTAAGTGGCATAGCCAAGAACAGAAAGACAAACATTGCACGTTCTCATTCATATATGGAAGCTGAAAAAAGGATCTCTTGGAAGTCGAAAGCAGAACAGAGGATACTAGAGGCTGGGAAGGATAGAGGAAAGTAAGGGGTCTGTGGTAAGGAGATTTGTTAAAGGATACAAAATTACAGCTAATAGGAGGAATAAGTTCTAGTGTTCTACACCACTGTAGGATGATTATAGTTAACGATAATATATTACATAATTTCAAAATACTAGAGAGAGGTTACTGAATGTTCCCAACACAAAGAAATGATAAATGTTTAAGATGATAGACACGCTAATCCCCCTCTCTGATCACTATACATTTTATGTATCAAAAGATCACTATGTACCTCCCATAAATATGTATAATTGTATAATTATTTTATGCCAATTAAAACAAAATAAAAATAAAGGTATATCTTATTAAATTTCTAGAAAGGAAGGAGACAAAAAGTAAATATATATGTATTTTTTAAAGAAAAAGAAATGCATTATTCTTGAAAATGATAAACATCAAATTCAAGTGAATAATTTGCTCTTAGGAAGGATTAGGATTTCAGAGAAATACTCAAATACTTTTATCTATCATTATTTATTTCTTAAGCTGCTTGATAGACATATGGTACTTAATGCATTATCTTTACTTTTTTCTGTATGATGAAAATATTTTGTAACAAAAACTTGGAAATATGTTATTAAAGCTTAGTAGTCACTACAGTTTTCCTAGAGAGGAGGTCGGGGGTAGCTATGAAGAATGAAAAAACAAGCAGCCCTTGCCCTTTAGAAGCCAGCCTGACACTCATTCTCCTGTTACACTTAAACATTCTCACAGAATGCCAACCTCACACAAGACTACCCTGAGACATTGAAAGAATAAACCAAGTAAGGCCACTTCATAGTTCTGTCTAAGCACAGAAAACAAGGTTACTGTGCCATTCAAAAAGTACCAAGCGGCTAGGCACGGCGCCCCCCGCCCCCTTTATCCCAGCACTTTGGGAGGCCAAGGCAGGCAGATCACCTGAGGTCAGGAGTTTGAGACCAGCCTGACCAACATGGAGAAACCCTGTCTCTTCTAAAAATACAAAATTAGCCGGGAGCGGTGGTGCATGCTTGTAATCCCAGCTATTTGGGACGCTGAGGCAGGAGAATTGCTTCAACCCGGGAGGTGGAGGTTGCAGTGAGCTGAGATCATGCCATTGCACTCCAGCCTGGACAACAAGAGCAAAACTCCATCTCAAAAAAATAAAATAAAATAAAGGACCAACTACTTCCTCTCTTGGCTAATATGATGGACTTCTTTACTAATCACAGATTCATCATTGTGCTAGTCTTCCATTTTGTCAGCAAGACTTATTGAAATGCCTTATTAGAGAATTCGAGAAAACTACCTCTGCTTTCTGACAGCATCCAATCGAGCATGAGTCCCTGACTCTATGCACCCTCCCCTAAACACACACAACCAAAACCCATACCCTATAATAAATTCCTGCTGAGACCCTCTTACTGGGACATGGCTCTCCATGATATATTCCTGGTCTTGCAATAAATTATAAGTAAACCTGCACAACTACAAGGGTATTCCTCATCATCTTTCACGTGACGATTTCGACACCACCAAAATGGAACAATGTGAGTTCCTCCACGACTCCAAACTTCCACACGCACCTCCACGACTCCAAACTTCCACACGCACCTCCACCGCTCTAAACTTCCACACGCACCTCCACCGCCCTAAACTTCCACACGGACCTCCACCGCTCCAAACTTCCACACGGGCCTCTATGACTCCAAACTTCCACACGCACCTCCACCGCCCTAAACTTCCACACGCACCTCCACCGCCCTAAACCTCCACACGCACCTCCACCGCCCTAAACCTCCACACGCACCTCCACCGCCCTAAACCTCCACACGCGCCTCCACCGCCCTAAACCTCCACACGCGCCTCCACCGCCCTAAAC